GAGTGCTGCAGACGTGAGTATCGCTGCATCGCAGCCTCCGCCTCTAACTAGCGCTCCCCGCAAACATTCGCCGCATCATCGATGCTCTTTCATTCTTCACGAGCTGATATACGAGGTGTGTGTGCTCTATAATATGTAACTGTGACGTACAGCAGCGCGCCGCACGCACACGACTAAGTAAAAGGGGGACCAACACTGCATGGCAGCAGTACAGTGCGTGCGGAGGCGCAGATAGCAGCACCCGTGTAGTAGCAGCGTACTGTGTAAGCGATCAATATGAGCTGGATCAGCTTGCAGGCTAGATCATCAATGTTGCTGATGCTGTGGTACAGGGATGGATGCGGCTCACAGCCGCCGCCGCCGCCGCCGTCGCAGCAGCAGCAGCAGCAGCAGCAGCAGCAGCAGCAGCAGTATATGCATCCCCCTGCATCAGCCCTGCATGCAGCATCTTCTCGCAGACTGTGAGCGAGCGCGTGTGTTTACGCTGCCCTCTTTACGTTACGGGCACAACACGTAGGCGCACCTACGTCTGCTCGCCATCGGCGTGGTGTATATGACCACATAGGGAAGTCATGGTCAACATATAAACATTAACCATTCATCATTCACACAAACGCTAAGGTGTGGACACGCAGACACACATGACCTACATGAATGCACGCGCGCGTACGCATACACAAACACACCCCCGCGCACACATGCACGCACTCACGCACGCACACGCACACGCACACACACTAGGAACACGCAGGGAAACGCGCACACACATGATCTACACCCTGGCATACGCAAGCACACATAACTTACACATACGCGCGCGCACACACACGCGCGCGCGCGCACCTACGCACGCACGCGCGCACACACACACACGCGCACACACGCACGCGCAAACCCGCGCGCACGCACGCACGCACGCACGCACGCACGCACGCGCGCACACACACACACACACACACACACACACACACACACACACACACACATGCACACCTAGACAGCGTTGTATAATTGGGGTTTCAATTTCGTATCATAGATGTATACAATTTACTATTTCATGACGGCCTTTGCCTCTGTGCTTAACACAGCATTTCTCCCTGACGCCCTGTCGGTACATGCTTACAGTTAGACAGTTGAGAGCCGTCATGCAATGATTTTCTTGTAGCTAAAGGTGCTGGGACATTAATTCATTCACGTTTGGTAGCAGAGTACACGCAACACATAATAAATTTATTTTGCCCGTATAGGTCTTTCAGTGATGATAAATTGTGTATCCGACGATATAGCAAGATCTCATATTATTACAGCATCAATGGCCGACGGTTTGTCTTCAGTACAAGACTCAAGCTACAAAGACGTATGAAGTCTACGTGATATGCAAAATGTGCGCGCACACCAATAATTGGTTGAAAAGTCAAATGTTTCAGTAAGCCTATTTGTTAACCTAGATTCGTTGATTAAACAACTTTGGCCTGTAAATTTTGCTACATATACACAGTAGTTCTGTTCAGCTAAGCTTTCAACTAATTATCGAAAACCGTCTCTGCCTCCACATGCGAATCCTCGGCCCACTACTACTCTGAACTTCGCCATAACTTCCTGCGTGCACGCAGCCGTGATCAATGCATTACTGTATAATAATAGCCCACCCTGCCCGCTACTGCCCCTTCTATCATCAGTGCTTCCGATTTCACCTGATATCAGAATAGGTTTCCGTATCAACTTGGAAACAATTCAAAACTTTACTTCAAAAATTGCCTAATTAACAATCATTTAGTGCCTGGAATGAGTGGATGTTACGATGAAAGCTCGCCGAGGGTCAATGAAATCTTGATGAATTTTGGCAAGATGCTGACACTGATCACAACGCAGATTGGCCGGTGGAGGGAACAATGCCAGGGGCGTGGTATATAATACAGTCTACAGAGGGCTTCATATACAGAGAACTACGGCCACGTGTGGACTGTAAGATATACAGAGGGGTTCAAATACAGAAACTAAGAAACATTGCTATGAAGGTGGGTAGGCAGGCATGGCTGATAGATATAGTATAACAGGGCTAGGAGGTAGAAAGGGCCAGAGCACATTCAATGTTGGTTGATTGTGTGGTGGGAGGAAACGGATAACAAATGATATATTACGGTGAGAGTTGCGCTAAGCACAGGTGATGTTAGGAGGAGGTAGGCAAAGGGCAATAGACACATAAGTACTGGTACTACTACTGTAAGTAATAGTACTGGGAGGTAGGGGTAGACAGAGGACAGCAGATACATGATAGTGGTGCTAAGACGAGGTAGACAGAGGACAGCATATACATGACAGTAGTACTAGGACGAGGTAGACAGGTGATAGTACTGGGAGGTAGGGGTAGACAGAGGACAGTAGATACACGATAGTACTGGGAGGTAGGGGTAGACAGAGGACAGTAGATACACGATAGTACTGGGAGGTAGGGGTAGACAGGGGACAGTAGATACATGATAGTACTGGAGGTAGGGGTAGACAGAGGACAGTAGATACACGATAGTACTGGGAGGTAGGGGTAGACAGGGGACAGTAGATACATGATAGTACTGGAGGTAGGGGTAGACAGGGGACAGTAGATACATTATAGTAAGGGGGTAGGGGTAGACAGGGGACAGTAGATACATGATAGTACTGGGGGTAGGGGTAGACAGGGGACAGTAGATACATGATAGTACTGGGGGTAGGGGTAGACAGGGGACAGTAGATACATGATAGTACTTATCTACTGTCCCCTGTCTACCCCTACCCCATGACAGCAGGAGTCAACAATCTCGTGATAACAGTAGCGCTAGTACGAGGTAGACAGAGGGCAGTAGACGCATTATGGGGGTACTATAGGGGGAGGAAGATAGAGACCATTACACACATTATGATGGTACTAGGGGGAGGAAGGTAGAGACTATTACACACATTATGATGGTACTAGGGGGAGGAAGGTAGAAACCATTACACACATTATGATGATACTAGGGGGATGAAGGTAGAGACCATTACACACATTATGATGGTACTAGGGGGAGGAAGGTAGAAACCATTACACACATCATGGTGGTACTAGGAGGAGGAAGGTAGAAACCATTACACACATTATGATGGTACTAGGGGGAGGAAGGTAGAAACCATTACACACATTATGATGGTACTAGGGGGAGGAAGATAGACTATTACACACATTATGATGGTACTAGGGGGAGGAAGGTAGAGACCATTACACACATTATGATGGTACTAGGGGGAGGAAGGTAGAAACCATTACACACATTATGGTGGTACTAGGGGGAGGAATGTAGAAACCATTACACACATTATGATGGTACTAGGGGGAGGAAGGTAGAGACCATTACACACATTATGATGATACTAGGGGGATGAAGGTAAAGACCATTGCACACATTATGATGGTACTAGGG